TTTAGGGGAATGATCATCCATCAACATCCATTAACCAGCTGCCAAGGTTTTGATGGTTTTGACTCATAGCCGTATATACATATATATATATAGATATATACTGTATATAATTATATGTATATTATTATATTAATAATGTATTCTACATGTTTCTTCACTAAAAGCAAACTGTTCATCATCAGTGGTGATTTGGGAACGGCAGCATCTCTCAGGTCCGAAGAGGGCAAGCCATGCTGGCGAACCGGGACACGGAGATCACCGTGTGCTGTGTGGCGACCAAGGGAGAATCCATGGTGACTCTTGGTGGGACTTGGATGGACTTGGGGTTATGACATGCACATGTTTTCCTCACCATCCTGGGTGTCTTTTTCAGGTATGCGTTTGCCAGCTGCGTCTCCCAAAGACTTTACGGTGCGCAAAAAAGAAGTGTTCAGCTGGAAATTGGGAACCGAGGTCCCAACGGGGTGATGTCTGAAGTTTTTCAGCTCTTGAGTTCAAACGGGTTAAAACAGGTTAAAACTACAGATGGGAAACATGCTCCATGTTTTTCCAGTTTGAATTGACTTATGCATTTGGTTTAGATGATATTCGTAGTGATTGATGGATGCCTCAGCGAATGGAGCTAGTCAGACCTTGAGACGTATCCAGGTTTGACGCGTTGTGCCAGGGCTACACCATCGAGGGTCCTACATCTCTGGATACCATCATCACGATTCCTAAGGACCCGACGGCTCATCATCTCTGATATGAGATGATTGAGACATATTGAGACCTTGCTAGAGTGGGAACTTGGGAATTTGGAGCCCTTTTTGATTTCTTGGAATTTTTGGATGTTTCCCGGAATTTTCGGGAACCCCTGAGAAGCCCAAGGGTTGCCAGGAGCCCATTTTGTCCACTCCCGAGATCGATCCGGGGTTGCAGTGGGAATTCCTAAGGGCCCGGAGCCCTGATGGCTGTGGTTTGTAGTGATCCACAAAAAAGGTGTAACAGTGTAACATCAATGCCTTGCAAATCGGCCAACTTTCGACAAATCACTTGAATGAGAAAGTGGCACTGCTTGAAGCATGCATACGGCTTTGTCTTAAAACTTTGTGGACGTCCCCCAAAAGTCCATAGAAATCCCATCATCATTTTCCCAAGTAAGACGGACATAAATTCGGAATATATGATATTAATTGATATTATAAATGCTATACTTTCCATATCTTTCCATTAATTTCCCAATTTATGAGTCGCAGCCATCTATTTAAAACAGTATTCCGGGTGACATTCAAAGTCGCTTTCCTGAGGTGTCCTTCGATCCACCGGCCAGCGACTCAGTGCGGCTTTTAAGCACTTGGAGGATATACTCAGATGGGTTCCAAAAAAGGCAGCCCCAATTTTTTGGTGGAAAAATCATGAAAAATCAGCCCAATTCTTTGGATGGAAGGTGGTTTTCCATCACCCCGGCCATGTTTTTTGGATGAAATTGGACTCAACACATTATATGGTGAGATTTATAACCAACAATACTATATGATACTATATGGACATTTAGAACCAACAATACTATATTTATAGTCATCATGATCCGCTTAGCTGTGGAGGTCTCCCAGCATGTGACCATCATCCACCTGACCCTGCGGCCTGCCAACGCCTTGACCGACCGTCAGCCTGCCTGAGCTGAGGGCGCTGGGTGATGGAAATCTATAGGTGAAATCCATGATCCATGGTGGTTGGGGGATGTCCAAGTCGTCATGAATCCATATGAATCCCATAGAAATCATGGAAGAAATCCTGATGTGGTTTGTTTGAGTAGGGGAAAGCGATACTTCAGAAGCAGGGGGAACATAAAAACACATAAAAACACCATGAAATTAATGCCATGAAACGCAACAACATCACAAACTGTTCTGCAGGTGCGCGGATCATTCTGACTATGCCCTTGGTCACGAGAGTCAACAACGTGTTGGGGGCCCAATTGGTGGCTGATTTGTTTGGAGGTTATACTACATATCACTACATAACATATACATATTGAGTATAATTGGGATTATCAATGATTATCACAATATAATAAAATATATCATATAATTGATATATCAATATATATCATATCTATATAAGATGTCAGGATATGTCATAATTAATATCATAATATACCAAACACCAAGGCATTTTCAACGTTCAACAAAAATCTGTCAACTCTTGGCCAGGAGTGGCACGGTGAATTTCAACACCGCCAACAGCATAGATGGAGCAGTTGGGATCTCAGTTACCAATGTTACCATATTTTGGGCTGGTGGAAACTATGAACATCCAGAAATGCCATATTTATATGGCTAAATTTCCATATGGCATCCCATATGTTGGGCTGGTTGCCTGTGAAATCTATTAAATCTATGAACATCCAGAAATATTTCCAGAAATGCCATCCAGATCATCTGGTTTCCACCAGGCTGAATCCGAGTGGGGATTTTACAACACGGTTCCAGTCCAGTCCCATGAAAGCCAGGATTGGATGTTCTTTGAGAGCTCTGCTCTTTGGGACGCTAGCATGGGCCAGCTGACCTTTTTCTTGCGTGAGGGCAAGGCTTGGAGATCACCTTGATGGAGGATAGGGGTAATTCAGAATTTCTGGGGTCCAGATAGACCAAGAATAACATGTTTCAATATCCAGAAATTGTTTGAATACTACCAGGTAGAAGAATGTATGTATTTGAATCATGGTGGTCAGTGTCGGACTCTCGTTCTAGTTTCCTTCCTTACATCCTTACAAGGTCCCATTGCAAAGTCAAGCTATTTTCTGGGTTGCGCGCTCCGTTGGTTGCGTATTCTGATGCCAACCTACAGATTTTGACACTTGTATTCACCTATATTCGAGGCATCCACGTTGTTAGTCTGCCTAATGGTAATAAAGCCCCAAATTTACCATCAATGGGTGCTAAACCATCAAAATATGGTTAATTTATTATTGCTCTACTAACATTATAATCCATTATACATTATCATCATTTATGAATCACTGGTTATAATCTATTATCCATTATTAACCCATTTTTAACCATAACACCCGTTGTTTGTTTCTTCCATTCTACGGCTGGTTTTTCGCCGTGGTGCCCTCCAATTCCATAAGAAACCCCCGCAGACGCTGCAAGCGACGCGGCAAGTGACCTTGTCCACCGAGCCGGGAGAGCCCTTCGGCTGGCACCTGGATCTATTCTTGGTTTCCATAAATGGGGGTGAAATTACCCTCTGGTAAGTTAACGTAGCTATTGAAAATGGCCATTCATAGTGGATTTTCCCATTAAAAATGGTGATTTGCCATAGCCATGTTAGTTTACCAGAGGGTAATTTCCATTAATGGGAGTACCCCAATAGCTGGATGATTTATAATGGAACATGCCATTAACATGGGATGATTCGGAGCTTTATTTGTGGAAAAAAATGTGGTTTATCATGGACAATTCCATTAATGAACATGGTTTATCATGGTTATTAATGGAATAATGAAACATCCCATCAAAAATACATCAAACAATCCCATGGATGATGACCGGGGGGTAGCCATCATTTATGGCTCAGGTTTCAGTTGCCGATCGAGCTGGCAGCCGACAGCCCAACCTTGACGGTGCCGCGGGGTCGATGTTCCAACGTTGGGTAGATCTCCAATGAGCAGATTATATAGCAATTCATCAGGGAAATCCATGGAAAATCCATTGGTTGATTGAGTGTATATCTACGGTTTCTAGCATTTAATCAGGGAAAAATCCATAGGGTTGAGATCCCAGACGCCTGACATGGTCTCCTGAAATGATACATGAATAAACACAACAGCCATCAAGAGCCCCTCCGATAGGTGTCAGCCCGATCGTTCGACAACATTGACGAAGTGGTGCGAGAAACACCAGTGGGCTGAACCCAGCACAGGGTGAGAAGTTCAAAAAAAGTTTGGTCCTAGATAGCTATCATAGCTATGAATGATAGCTATGATAGCTATGATAGTTGAATGAACCCTTGTTTTTTTGTTTTGGCCCTTTCATTCATAGCTATCAGGCAGCTATCAGGCAGCTATCATAGCTCATTTTGCAGATGAAAAATCCGGGGATTCAGAATGAACAAAGTGGGCCAGTGGGCGTCCCGTCCACCATTTTTAGCGAGGGTCAATGGCTACCAAGCTGGCCCCCTCAATGTGTGGAAAGATATCATTGCCATGTCATCAAGTTTCCCAGGAAACCATACCTGTATGGTTTGATCTACTGAAAACGGTTTCAACCAAACCTTCCAGTTCTAGATAAAGGAGGATAAAGGCATCAACTGATGACATGCCAATCTGATGGATCCAGATTTTGCGCCAGATCTGATGGAATTCTAACAGCTCAGGTGACCCAGTCGAGTGCAGTACCTCACGTGCGCAACTTCGTCTTCACTAGGCCCGGCCTCGCCTCGTATCGCCTCGCGACGGAGCTGTGGACAGTTGGAGCTGTGAAAACTGAGGCTGGCCTACACCAACAACGTGGCCAACCAGCAAACTAATGTGATGTTCCACTTTATGAGCAACAGGCCGTTTTTTGCTCTGATCTCAGTTGATCGAGAAGGGCCTTGGAAATTCAGTGACCCAACTACTTTTAAGCATAGTTCAACTTCTGCAACTGCTTGTCACCTGTTTGATGGAGGTTTCAGAAGGGAGAGTGATGCTCACCGTGAGTGTTATTTGGAACTCTTGCTGGTCTCGGACAATTTTCATCAGTCATGATCAGTCTATCAAACTTGGCAGGCATTTACTCCAAGAGCGGGTTGAAGATGGTTGAAGGGGAAATTTACATGCAACCTTCAGCTAGAAATCTGTGACAGCACCAAGGCTGGATCTGTGATCTATCTTCGTCCTTTGGCGAAATTTGGCGAAACTCTGCAGGGTTTTCTTGAACTGGGTGTGTCTGAAAATTGGGAAAAACGGTACACCACCATTTATGGCAATGTTTTGCAATTTTTGAATATATCATTTCAATATCTTTTAATGATAAATGATAAACTGCATTTAGGCGTACTAGATCCAGTTCTTGAGGTGAATTTGGGTCACGAAAAGATGACCTCTCAGCGGTAAGTTCCCGGACCTTTTGATATTGATTTAAATTAAGTTACCCTGGAGTCCTTCAAAAATTTATGCTTCCCAAATCTTACAGTTCTGGAAACACTTCCAAATTCCCAACTCTGAAACACTTCCAAAAAAATGTTCAATTTCTAAAGTATCTTCAATATCTTCAATGTCAATGTTTCAATATCTATTTGTCCATCCCAGATTTTTAAAATTGATCCCAATTGCGGCCGAAAAAATTGGACACTGACCGGCCGAGGCTTGTCGGGCTTCACGGCCCAGCGGGTCGAGGTGCCCCTCAAAGGGATCACCAAGGCCGGAGCTGGTGGGAGCTGGTGCCTGGTGGAGAAGTGCTGAATAAATGGTAATCAATGAATCATATGAATATATAATAATATGGGTATGGATCAATACCTATTAATACCATGTTTAGGGGAATGAACATCCATAAATCCCAGCTATTTTGATGTGAACTACAGGGGTACAAGGTTTTGACACACTGCCATATATATATATATATGAATAATATGGACGAACATCTTCAAAGATGTGAGAATGATATGACTGGAAGAAAATTTTCTTCCAGAACTCCATTTCATTGGTGTTCTGATGTGTTTTTGATGTGTTTTTCAGGAATTCTGGAGGTCATTTTTGGTGTCGAGGCACATTTCCGCGATGAGAGCGCATACTTCAGACTCCCGGCGCCGATGGGTTGATGGGTTCATGACGGTAGGGTCAACGTAATAGATTTGTGGAAAAAACACAGATGTTTGAATATCATATTACCATTCTGTTTGGGTTTATTTGTTTGGTTTTGAATCTGTTTGAATATTTCAATATCATGTATATTATACATCATATTACCATATCTCAGAATGAGACCATACTGGACCATACTATTGCACGAAACTGATATGAATCGATTCTGTTGGTTCATTTTTGTTGTATCAGAATTTTGACCCAGAGCCAACGAGAAGGATGATGGTTAGAGATTTTTAGGTTACCCCCAGCCGGGGTCATGGTTTGGTGCGTGGACAATGAACCGAATCCAATTGAATGATGGATCATAGTGTATCAAAGACTTTAGATTCATTGGTCATGAAATGTCATGAATCATGGCACCCTCATGGATTTGATTAGGCCTTTGTGGATCACGTGCTGAAACATACGGCAGATGATGTACCCTCTGGTAATTTAACGCAGCTATTGAAAATGGCCATAGAAATAGTGGATTTTCATGGATTTTCCCATTAAAAATTAAAAATGGTGATTTTCCATAGTTATGTAAACGTTTACCAGAGGGTACATGAATTATGATACTGAATGATACTGATACTGCCACCTACATCTTGGCAATCCAACGAGACAAAGTTGATCCGACTTTGAAGCAACCAGCAGATTTGCAGCCGACCTGAATTTTTTCCAGCTTGCACAGGAGAATATCTTGGAGCTCCATGTGGTTAGAACCATCTACTCTGATGAGCAGAGACCCAAGTTGTGATTCGTTTTGTCGCGTGGAGCTCTGAAAGTTGTCATTTGGGATTGTCCAAGCATTTCAATGGCCATTCCAGGAACCTAAATTGGAGGTACCTACCATATATAAGGCCTATGTCAATGTAAGGCCTATGTCACACCCCCAAAATATGGCCTTATATGGTACAGTACCTCCATTTTAGGATCCTGAAATTCCCATTGAAGCATGGCGTGCCCGTGAATTTCAATGGTTTTTCATCATTTTCCGGATTAACATAGCCATGTTTGATCATTTTTGGCTGTATTGTATCATATTGTACCTTTTTTTGCACACACCTATTTGATGAAGTTCACCCCACAGAGTCGAAGTCGGCTTGCAAATCAGATCAAATCAGGTATTTGTTTGAATTGGAGCTTGTGGCGTCAGCCTTAGAAAGGGGTGATGTCTCAGCCGGCGTCCAATACCAACGGCAGTATCTCTCAGTTGTAGATCGAGGTTCATCAGTTGATTCAGTTGGGTGTGGGTCACAGTGGAAAATTGCAATTCTAGAATTGTGAAACTTGTGAAACTGGCAATTTTCCATCATTTTCCATCATTTTCCATCATTTTCCATCATTTTCCATCATTTTCCATCATTTTCCTCTAGGATATCCTGGGTGCTTTGGGCTTTCTCTTCAGCCCTTCAGGAACTGATTCTTCCACCGGCGCTGTATGTTGGGTCCTCAGCGGCCTACCCGAAAATCCGCCATTTTTTTATAGCATATGTTTTAATGGGAAACGCTGGAAACATCATAATTCATGTACCCTCTGGTAAACTAACGTAGCTATGGAAAATCACCATGTTTAATGGGAAAATCAACTATTTCGACTGGGCCATTTTCAATAGCTATGTAACAAATTACCAGAGGGTAAATATGGTGAGTTCTATCTATAAACATCATTTATAAATTATCTAGAATCTATAGTTTATAAATGGTGAATTCGCCATTGCCATGTTTGATCACCGTAGGGTATTTCCACGGTTCTCCAACTGCCATTAAAACTTGCACGGCTTCTTGGTCGTCACCGGATGCACCCAACTGAAACTAGTAGTCATATTGATCATACTGTGGTTGCGAAATCCTGCGCCAGTTGGTAGATGGTAAACATTCTATTATCATTTAATATCATTTATTAAATTATATTAAATTTACTCGTATATATAATCCCTAAATTTACAGTGCTTCATAGATTTCATAGGAATCCCAATCGTTACCCTGCCTGGTGACAGCCAGGTCAATGACACGTCGTTGCTGGCCTGGAATTCCGATCCTGGGCCGGTGCCTCAGCGATTTGTGTCCTTGGCTCATCTTGGCTTCCCTGTCTTCGCGCTTTTCTTGAGACATCCGAAAAGAACTTGAAAGAATCTCTCTCTCTCTCTCTGAAATTATATCAATGACTCTATCTATCTGCATGTGGTATATATATATATATGCGATGTATATATATATAATAATATATATACATTATATATATAATTACATATATATATATATTATTTATACTTAGACTTAGATATGACAACAACTGTTTGTTTGCACGTTGACACCATTTTGAGAAGGGACCACAGTGGGCTCAGGGCTCCACAGCAACCCATCGACGACTCTCCAGAGGCTCCAGCGATGAGTTGGGGGGCTACTAGCCCCCATGACTTTGGACACCTCCATTTATTATGGGAAACCATGGTTTCCGAATATGTAAACTAATGGGTTTCTCCATTTGGATATGGGTCAAAATGGAAGACCTAGGGGACCACAGATGTTAGTCTAGTTTAGTATTAACCATCCATAATTTTGGTACCTAATTTTGACCCATACCCATATAAACTAATGGGTTTCTCCATTTCATATTCATGGGTGTATTTTTTTTTCATATTGCATGGGTTTTCATATGATTCATATGTAATCCCTTCCCCCCAATTGGGAAAACACCCCTCCAGAAACCATGGTGGATGTAGGGGATGAAACCAAATAATTGGGACCATAGAATGGGGGTGTTTAATAATAATAGGGGGATGGGAGTATATGTTTTACTATATGTTTTACTATGTCATGACTTTCCAGACAATCATAAAAACTAGTGCTATTGTCAAATGATGATAATGATATAGGAACGAAGCTATCATTATTTGCTATCATTTGTTACATTTGGTGTGAACCATATCATTCATTATGATAGAACATATGGTTGTTCAAAAGTCATATCTATTCAGACTACCATGAATAATTTTCAATAATCAGAAGATGAGAACTGGCCTATTTCAAGGGCAACCCATTAGCTTTTTTATGAGCTCATTCTGAAGCACAGCTGCAGGTGGGCAACGGCTACAAGACCTTCAAACGCTCACAGTTGGCCTTTGAACCCTCTGAACCCAGGCCGGAGTCTCCGGCAGTGTTTGGTAGGGATGGGTCAATACCTCTACGCGGCCATTTTTCTAGATGGGGATTAACTATGATTGACAATGGTTAACTATGATGGAGATTAACCATATATAGTTAACTATGACTACCTGTTTTTTTTTCCCAAAAGCATCTCCGATGCTTGGGTTCTCGTTTGGTTGCACTCGCCGCGGGGGAGCGAGACTGAGTGGTCGACGGAGATGTGTTGGAAGGAAGGAAGGAAGGAAGGAAGGAACGAAGGAAGAAAGGAAGGAAGGAAGGAAGGAAGGAAGCAAGGAAGCAAGGAAGCAAGGAAGCAAGGAAGCAAGGAAGCAAGGAAGGAAGGAAGCAAGGAAGCAAGGAAGCAAGGAAGCAAGGAAGCAAGGAAGCAAGGAAGCAAGGAAGCAAGGAAGCAAGGAAGCAAGGAAGGAAGGGAGGAAGGGAGGAAGGAAGGAAGGAAGGAAGGAAGGAAGGGGAAGGAAGGAAGGAAGGGGAAGGAAGGA